TGTGTGTGTGTGTGTGTGTGTGTGTGTGTGTGTGTGTGTGTGTGTGTGTGTGTGAGTCTTTGTTTAAAGACGTGGGTTCAGCAGCTGGACAGATCAGACAGGCAGCATGCTGAACGGGTCACCTCGTCCCCGCCATGTGATTTTTACTATAGCAAGTTAAAGAAGAGGTCAACTCTGAAAGCTTCAGGTAAAAGAATCCTAAAAAATCTTTCATATAAAGTCATTTCTGTTCTTTTTTTAATGCGTTAGTTTTGTCATTTATCAGGCATTGTATGTGTAGTGCAGTGAGACGTTTTTGTCAGGAAAAAGCATCCTAAGCATGTTTTAAAGGGATAAAAAGTAGAGATTTTTCTGCTGTCAGACTCACTGCTGAGACAAAGGAGTCACCTGCCTTGTTCACAGTAAAGTAAAAACTGAATTAATGCCTTTCTATTTTTCATCTGCTCTTGTTCAGAAACCATTGTAAGCTGAGTTAGAGCGTGTTTACATGATATGATTAATTTATGGAGTCCTGATTCTGTCATGCGTACAAATCATTCAAGTGTAAACGGGTCAGACTGCCAAGCTTCGGTGCAAAGTGAAGGAAATCCAGTTTGTGGAGACACAAATGGCAGAAACTCCTTCAAAATAAGGCTCATCATTCTCTTTTTTTCAAATTTCTAATCATTTTTTAATTGTCTTTAGTTTCAAAAAGGCTTTGATATGAAAAATTCAGCATACATTTGAATTAAAATTAGATTAATTTTTGCAGCTACAGCAGCAGTTTCAACCCACCTGAAATTCCTCTGAAGAGTGGCACATTCACTTGGAGCGGTTCTGGGGGAGGGAAGGCTGGGTTTTAAAGATGTGAAAGAAAAACATCTCTCCTGTCTTGGTTTGAACACCATCTTCAAAGAGTTAATCCTCAGGGAGTGCAAGTTATTTTCAGCTGCTTCGTTTCTTCTTTCAAAGAGTCCAGTAAATGACAGCGTGTTCTGTCGTCCTGCTCCAAAAACTCTTCTATATTTACTATGTTGTCCCAGTTACTGTCAGTGAAGCAGGTGAAGAACGAAGGAAAATAGCTTAATATGAAACTGTCTTTTGTGATATTAACCTAAAAACCAGAGGTCTATAAAGAACTTGGAAAAAAAAACATTTTCATGTTTTTCATTTTACATGTACAACACCTAAGTAAAAGTAAAATTACATGAACAGAAAATGACTTTAGTAAAAAATAAATTTCATTTATGAGAAAACTAGTCAATTAAAAGTCATAAAACTTTGCAAAAATTGGGAAAGTAAAAGTACTTTTACACACTAAGAAATAAACTGTTGAATTTCCTGAACCAAACTGGTTCCACTACAGGTTGAGTAAATTGAGCAATATATGTATAATTTTTGCTCAGTTTACTCAGCTAGGCTTAGTGGAGCCAGTTGAAATGACTTTGTTGAGTAAACTCAACACTTCATTTTTTAGAGTGAAGAAATATCTTTCATGATGAGTTTGAACAGATTTAATTTTGTAATGAGTAACTAGTGTTAAATTTTTTCATTTTTAGCATTAAAACGTAATGAAATAAAAGTAAAAGTAGCTACTTAAAAAATTGGTAAAATTACAAATCTTCAAAAAACTATTTAAGTACTGTAAAGAAGTAAATGTACTTAATTACTATAAACCTCTGCTAAAAACACAAAACCTTCAAAGAGCCCTAATAGTAAAATTTGTCTGGCCCAAACACTCGGCCCAGATACCAAGAAGAATGGCGGCCCTTTGGTGGCCCACATGTAGTTTTCCAGAGGTAGTCCATGCATGAGCCAGCATCACTGGGCCACATGGGCCAGTTGTGGTACGCCCATCTTAAAACCAGTGCCATCATTGCCAGATCTGACCCACAGCTGGTTCACAAAACAATGCTCATGTCAGTTAGCAGTGCCAGCTTGATACCATGATACCTTGATCTGGCCCACACCTGTCTGCTGTGTGCTGGTCTACTCCTAATATTAGCAACAAAATTTTATAATGCAAACCCACATCATTGCCCTTCCACCACCGTGCTGACAGCAGAGCTGTTGTTAGCTCCARACATCTCCACTTCAGTCTTGTTTGTCCAAATCTAAACCACGCTACCACTTTTTGTCAAGAGAAGCAGCTTATCTCAGCCTTCCATCTAAACAGCCTGCTGTTCACGTCTTTTTCTTCTTCTTTTGTCACTAAATTTACCATTCAACATGCTAACTGAAGCCTGTGTAGAGTCTGGTGTTTAAAATATTTTATAAGACTGATCTTTATGTGGTGAACAACAATAACAGCTTATAGTTATTTCATCATTAAAGTCACAAATGAGGCATTATTTATAAGAGGAATGGTGTTAGATAGTGTTTCATGCATTTGAGAGGTTCATACAGATATTTAAGCACTCATTAATAAGACGCTTACCCCTTATTACTGTGGCCAGCTTCTGCTGCACCAGGGAATCARTATCTATCAGGTGAACGAGCACTAGAATATCAATAACAGTGAAACTTAGTTCCATCATGCTTTTCAGTCAACAAACTTGCTTATGCTTAAATTTTTTATTTTCTCATATTACAACTGTACCAGAAATTTGGTAACTTTTATTGCTGAAAAAGTATATTTTTATGTTGCAATATCTTCTGAAACAAACTCTTGAAGTTAAATATTCTCCTCCTTCCTGTTTAGTCTCAGCGTTGAGGGACAGTAGATGAAGAGGCGAGGAGACCCCACCAGCATCTGCCTCTCTTCTCCAGTAGAGGGAAGCAGTGTGCAGGTCTACCATGACWGCCAGAAGGTGGCTTTTCAGATGCATCCTGGGGATGGTTCCCACACCGGAGACCACCTCACCAGTCCAGACATCATCCTCCAAAACCAAGAAGAAAAGTATAACATTAGAGACGAGACTTTCCACAGGACCAGTGCTCTGATGATGGAATCAAGCAGCCAAGTGTACTCAGGGCCAGAGGACAACTCCACTGACCCACATGAGTCCCTGACAGGGTCTTCAACCATAACCTTTGTAGATGTCTCCACTGTGGAGGAGAACCACAGTCTGCAGGGGCCGGTTTACCTGAAAGAGTTTGTGCTGATAGACGATGATGAGGATGGAGACATGTCGCTGAGAGAGAAAACAGTGACAGACCTGTCAGTGATGGAGGGGAAAGCTGCTGATCTGGTGTGTGGCAGGCTGCTGTCCACCTCCAGTGGCTCCATGTCAGAGAGTAAGGATGATCGTTCAGCTCGTRAAGCCCTCCCAGGAGAGGGGCAGGACACGGCTCAGGTGAAGAAACACTGTTGTTTCTGCACTCTGCTGTGAAACACAGTCTGCAGGTTTAAAACATGCACGAGGATCCTTGTGTGCTCTGAGCTCTTCAAACCCAAAACTCAGCCTTTATTTGGCAAACATYTCTCCCTGGGCTGCCACCTTATCGTGGTGGAGAGGTTTGAGTGTCCCAGTGATCCTAGGAGCWATGTTGTTGGGGCTTCATGCCCCCAGTAGGGTCACCCAAGGCAAACAGGTCCTAGGTGAGGGATTGGACAAAGTGCAGCCCAAAGACCTCTATGATGAATACGATGGATGGATTCAGTTTTCCCTTGCCCGGACGCGGGTCACCAGGGCCCCACTCTGGAACCAGGCCTGGACGTGGGGCATTTTGGCGAGCACCTGGTAGCCGGGCTTTCGCCCATGGAGCCCGATTGAGCACAGCCCGAAGAGGAGACGTGGGTCCCCCTTCCCATGGGCTCACCACCTGTGGGAGGGGCCGTAGGGGTCGGGTGCAATGTGTGTCGGGCAGTGGTCGAAGGCGAGGACCTTGGCGGTCTGATCCTCGACTACAGAAGCTGGCTCTAGGGACGTGGAATGTCACCTCTCTGGTGGGGAAGGAGCCTGAGCTGGTGTGTGAGGTTGAGAGGCGGAGCTGCCAACTGACCACTACCTGGTGGTGACTTGGCTCCGTTGGTGGGGGAGGATGCCGGTCAGACCTAGCAGACCCAAACGTATGGTGAGGGTCTGCTGGGAATGTCTGTCAGAGTCTCCCTTCAGACGGAGCTTCAACTCACACCTCCGGGTGAACTTCGAACACGTTCCGGGGGAGGTGGGGGACATTGAGTCCGAGTGGGCCATGTTCCGTACCTCCATTGTCGAGGCGGCTTACCTGAGCTGTGGCCATAAGGTTGTCGGTGCCTGTCGTGGCGGCAACCCTCGAACCCGCTGGTGGACATAGGCGGTGAGGGATGCTGTCAGGCTGAAGAAGGAGTCCTATCGGGTCTTTTTGGCCTGTGGGACTTCGGAAGAAGCCGATAGGTATCGGCAGTCCAAGCAGACTGCGGCTCAGGTGGTCGCTGAGGCAAAAACTCGGGGGTGGGAGGAGTTCAGAGAGGCCATGGAAAAAACTTCCGTACGGCTTCGAGATGATTCGGTTCCACCAACTAGCATCTCAGGGAGGGAAAGCAGTTCGCCACCAACACTATTTATGGTGGGGAAGGTGCGCTGCTGACCTCAACTCGGGATGTTGTGGGTCGGTGGGTGGAATACTTCGAAGACCTCCTCAATCCTACTGACACATCTTCCCATGAGGAAGCAGAGCCTGAGGACCATGGGTTGGACTTTCCAATCTCTGGTGCTGAGGTCACTGAGGTGGTTAAAAAGCTCCTCCGTGACAGGGTGCTGGGGGTGGATGAGATTTGCCCGGAGTTCCTTAGGCTCTGGATGTTGGTGGGGTTGTGTTAGCTGACGCAACTCTACAATATCGCATGGACATCGGGAGCAGTTCCGGATTCAGGAAGAGCAGTGTGGTTTTCGTCCTGGTCGTGTAACATCGGACCAGCTCTACACCCTCAGCAGGGTCCTGGAGAGTGCATGGGAGTTCACCCAACCAGTCTACATGTGTTTTGTGGACTTGGAGAAGGCGTACGACCGTGTCCCTCGAGGAACCCTGTGGGGGTACTTTGGGAGTATGGGGTACCAGGCCCATTGATACGGGCTGTTAGGTCCCTGTACGACCAGTGCCAAAGCTTGGTCCGCATTGCCGAAAGTAAGTCTGGCTTGTTTCCGGTGAGAGTTGGACTCCGCCAAGGTTGGCCATTGTCACCGATTCTGTTCATAACTTTTATGGACAGAATTTAAAGGCTCAGCCAAGGTGTTGATGGGATCCTTTTTGATGACCTTAGGATCACATCTCTGCGTATTGCGGATGATGTGGTCCTACTGGCTTCATCAGATCATGATCTCCAGCTCTCACTGGAGTGGTTCACAGCCGAGTGTGAAGCAGCCGGGGTGAGGATCAGTGCCTCCAAATCTGAGACCATGGTCTTGAGCTGGAAAATGGTAGTGTGCCGCCTCCGGTTCAGGGAGGAGATCCTGCCCTAAGTGGAAGAGTTTAAATATCTCGGGGTCTTGTTCATGAATGAGGGAAGAATGGCGCGGGAGATCGACAGGTGGATTGGTGCTGCATCTGCAGTGATGCGGGTGCTGTACCGGTCTGTTGTGGTGAAGTGAGAGCTGAGCCAGAAGACGAAGCTCTCAATTTACTAGTCGGTCTACGTTCCTACCCTCATCTATGGTCACAAACTTTGGGTAGTGACCGAAAGAATAAGATCTTTAATACAAGCGGGTGAAATGAGTTTCCTCCGCAGGGTGTCTGGGCTGTCCTTTAGAGACAGGGTGAGAAGCTCAGTCATCCGGGAGGGACTCAGAGTAGAGCCGCTGCTCCTCCACATCGAGAGGAGCCAATTGAGGTGGCTTTCGGTGTCTGGTTAGGATGCCTCCTGGATGCCTCCCTGGTGATGTGTTCCGGGCACGTCCCACTGGGAGGAGACCCAGAGGAAGACCCAGGACACACTGGATGGACTATGTTTCTCGGCTGGCCTGGGAACACCTTGGGATTCCCCCAGACGAGCTGGCCCAAGTGGCTGGGGAGAGGGAAGTCTAGGTATCTCTGCTTAGGCTGCTGCCCCCACGACCCAACCCCGGATAAGCGCGGCAGAAAGCGGAAGGACAGAAGGACAGAAGAGAAGAGGTTTTATACCAAATTCAATTTAGACACAAATGTGCTTCAATGAAACTCAAAGTGATTAAAAAGTTTGTTCCAGTTGCCTAAATTAATAACTTTACAATTATTAAACCTTTGTGCTACGATGATAACTTGCTTTGTAAAAAAAAAAAGTCTCATTATTTTCAATATGAT